ACTTCAGCTTTGTTTGAAAAGAGCATTTCAAGCAGCCAATTGCCCCAGCCTGAACAACTCCTTGTGCTGGAGCTCCTTCTGGGAACAGCCTCGGCTGCTCTGGGAAATGTAAGGACATCCCGCATGAAGCTCTGAAGTCAGGCTGAGTGCCAGAGCGTAAAACCCAACCATCTCCATTTCAACCTAGAGGTGCCAATCAGACTTATCAGTCCTCAAAACACATGGCAGGGCACGACAAGTCCCGCGAGCCTTCACTTCTGACAGCTTTATTTGCACTTCCAGCACTGACAACAGAATTATGGAACGCTTACAGTATCCAGGCCAGAGCACCACGAATACTGAAAGCCTACAGTCTCTAGATCCCACAACAGATCATTACAGGAAACACATTGAAATAAATCCATCTTCTTAACTTTCTTGTTTCACCCAACCATCATTCCTTCAATTAAACACCCACCTATTTGACTGTAAGATTCCCAAGCTGTGTATTCAGAATATCACTACCACAGTTCTGCTATATAGAAGAATCTGTTTCCAGTTCTTGCCATTTCATAAGTTTCCAATGAGAATTCAATGGGCCCAGCCACGATTCAAACAGAAAATATGGAGACACTGCAGATCTTTAAGTTACTTAAATACAGAAAATATTTTCTCCAGCAGCACAAAGCAGAGAGTGATGTTTTCTCACAAAAGAAAGCTGCTTTCCTCATCTCCAATCACCCCACAAGAGAAGGGACACGGACACAGCATGACATCAATTCCCTCATCAGTTTTGAGGCAACCATTTTCCAGTCACTTTTAGCTGGGGGCATTTCTTTGTTTCTCTCTTCCCACCGTAGCTAAATTAATACTAAGTGGAAACTTCACGTAAGTGCCATTGCAGAAGACTGTGTACAATAGAAATAAGTCTTAAAGAGCAGGGTTCAATATCCAGAACTGATGACTGAGACATTCTTGAAGCCAATATCAAATCCTCAGGCATTAACATGTTCCTCGTATCAAAAGCTCGCAGTGCTTGCCAAGTGTTCACACACTCTTCACACAGATTTGTGTTTCCAATGTTTTTAAGACATTCTGATTAACCTGGACTTTTCCATCTTTGGGTTTTTGTATTGAGTTGGTGCTTTGTTTCTTTTGGATACTCCCTAAAAAAGAGGGAATGTGTCAAAATATTTCTTACACAATCAGTATTCTTGCAGAAAGGGTCCATATTCTCTAACTCACATGATTCACCTATTAGGAATAAACAGTCTCTTGAAACATGAAGAAAAGTCTACCAGCTTGCAGCTGAAGTATATTGGTCACTTTCCACAATTTGAATTGCCTTTAAACATACTTGGTTGTCAAAAGGAAAAGTAGCAGGTGAGGACTAGTCATTAAAGCACAAGAAGCAGCACACTGGGCATAAAGACCTGTCAGCTAGTTAAGGAGCTGTTGACATTGGTCTTCTACCCCTATTGCCTGCAGGCTTCCTTATCAGGAACTCTTCTCCATCACCCGCAGCACAAACCAGTCACACCAGTAACAGCACACTGGAGGTACTTCACTGAGGTTAACTGTGTTTGATAACACCTGCAGGACACAACTTCCCATCATTATGAAACACTGGGAACTGCCTTCTGCGTTGCAGAATGCAAAATACATTCAAAAGTGGAAAAATGACATTGCTATTGCCTTTACTATTCCAAGAGTGAAAGCGCAGATTCATACAACACCTTTTGGAAACAGATTATCAGCCAATGCAAATTGCTGCAGTTTTGCAATTGACCAACAGTGTTGATGCATTGTTTTTTAATTCCTCCAAGGCAAAATTACTATGGCAAACCAGATAAATCAGTGCCTACTTGGAAGAAGTAGCTGGAACGCTCATCTTGAAGGATTAGATATATACAGCTTTCTTTGACACGAAAAGTGGCTCTCAATCAAATAGGAAACATCTAGGAAGCTTAGTTATTCCAGAAGATGTATGAAAAATTAGATGCTTTTGATAAAGCATGCTGTGAAACTGTCTCAGACTGGGTTAAAAGGAAGTAGAATCACATTACAAATATATAACCATAGTTAGGCGACTAGACCAAGGCTAAATACCCAGTTAGGAAATTCTTCAGGGCTTGCTGTCATTTCGCTACATTTAAAGCTCTAGAAAAATTGTTACTGACTTTTCTCATCTCTCTTTTCTAAAGGGGAAAAAAATCCTACTATTAATTCCCAAATTACCCCCAAAATCCTGTGACATTCAGAAAGAATCAAGAACTTCACTGTTAATCTCAATATGAATTTTTATTTACAGTTTCTTATGACAGCTAAACATAAGACTTCCTCCCCCCCCCCCCCCAAGAATGATAATAGAAATTAAACTTATTTGGGAACAAAAGACTTGAGATGTCTGTATAATACAATATCCACTCTCTTTCAAAGTGGATTAGTAGTTTCCCTGCAGACATGTAAGAACTCCAGCCAGAGGCAAGCCGTGTTGGGACAGAGAGAAGAGACATTAAAAAGGAATGCTGCCATCCCACTTCAAACAGAAAGTTTTACACTGTGAGAATTCTGTCTTAAGACAAGCAGGAGATGAGAACTGTGAACAGACCACCAGCTGAGTAGGGAAATCTTATGGAAGAAGCCAGAAGACATCGCTCCATTAAAGGGTTTATAGAAGGAAAATTCCCTGTGCATCAGAGAACAGAATGGAACAGTTGCTTTATAGGTAAAAAGAGAAGGAGGAATGCTGACAAATAGTTCTCTCACGAGTCAAGAAAATTGACTGGTGTTAAGTGGGAAGCAAGGCACGTCTGTTCAACACAACACCGTGGACCAAAGAGTTCTTTCTTGGTCTTAAGGGGAAAACCTTCATCGCAGCCCCGGTCTTTTCCAGGCTGCACTTCAGATGGCTGTAAACATCCTCACATGGCAAGAAGTGAATGTTGATGTACGAATTGCTCACACGGAGAAACTGATGCGCAAAATGAAATGCCGGGGATGCTAAAATCTCGGCCTAACATACTCGGTTCAAAACTAAAGAGAACTCTTTGGAAATATCGTGTAAAAGCTTTCCTATTTAACTTCGTGCCTCATTTTCCGTTTGGCCGCTGCGCCCCGCTTCAGACGAGGCACGGTCACGCGTTGCCCTCTAGTGGTTCCTCGGTCAGGATGCTGCCCCGGGTTTAAAACGGGCACAGGAATCAAAATATTCGGGCTTCAGCCTGCATCGACTGAGCGAGAGATCAGCGCCTTCCTCAGAGGCCATCACACCTGCGACACAAGTAATCCGTGTGTTGGCAGCAAGCTGTAGAAGTGAAGTTGAAATTCTGTCAATTAAAAGGGATTTGATTCGGTGTTTTAAATGTATTCATATTTAAAAGTAAAATGTTTACCATTTAAGTGAGAATAAATTGGGAGCCTATCACCTCAACCCACTGTAAAATGATCTGTCTAATCTGTTTGATCGGATAAGAGCCGACTACAACTTACAGAAGTAGTTTAAATCAGAAAGCTCCTTTCAGACCTGGAGTTTACTTTTAAGAAGGAGGCTGTGTGGTGGCTGCAGAGACTGAACCGATGACACAAAGAGCCTATCAGTATATCCATAAAGTGTATTGTACAACTGCAAAGATATCTTTTTTTCCCTCTCATGCTGTATCCTTCCTTGCTTTCTTCAACACCTTTAACTTACTGCTACATACTGCCAATTGCTCTCCTTAGCCTTCAACACCTTTTTAAGAAGAAGAATGTTTGATGAAATGATCTGCTGGATCCAAGTTGAAGGAGGGAAGATTTGGGTTGGATGTTAGGGGGAAGTTCTTTACTAGGAGAGTGGTTAGGCCCTGGAACGGGCTGCCCAGGGAGGTTGTGGATGCCCCGTCCTTGGGCGTGTTCAAGGCCAGGTTGGACGGGGTCCTGGGCAACCTGATCTGAATGTGTATGTTTGGTGGCCCTGCTAGGCAGGGGGGTTGGAACTACATGATCCTTGAGGTCCCTTCCAACCCGGGTGATTCTGTGATTCTGTGTGTGATTCTGCGCTGGGCTGCCATCAAATATCAAGAGAGAGAAGAACAATTACCAATGGAGTGGTAAGCAGCTCTTTATGAACACAATCGTATCAATCATAAACCACAGCAGGTTGGGAAATAATTGGATGCTAATGCAACTGAGAATTGCTTCTGACACTGATGATGTTCTTAGGACCTCTGGAGTGCTGCTATTGGGTGAACTGGTATTGCCAGGCATGCTGCTATGCAAACAGCAGCTCCTTCCACTTTGGTTTTATCACTTTTTAAAATTATTTTTGTTTCATAGATGTAAATGCAGCTATCGCTGGCCAATCATTGCTTTGGGATGTAGACAGTGGCAAAAGAAGTTTCCCAAAAGGACCGATCCAATAAGAAAAGATCTTCATCGTTGCCCATCTGAGAGGGTTATGCCAGGGAAGGCAGTTCTAGTTAGCTGAGTTCTAGTTAGCTGAGAGTCCCCTTCTGCAGGAGCAAATGAAGGAACACAAATTGGGCTCCATTACATCTCCAGGTGTTTTGTGCCTCATGCCTCACTTACATCCCCAAACCCATCCTCGCTGTGCTGCTGCTCCTATCAGCCAGGAAGGCTTGCATGCCTGCACGGCATCACTCTGAGAATGAACAAAGCATTCGAGCACATAACACTGAATTTCAATCCTCTACGAAAGTAATCGTGCACAAAATTGAGCCGTAAATTAAGATGACTATTGGGTATCAATGCCACTTTTCCAAATCTATTTGTCCCCCAAAGGGGAAAATCCACCTATTTGGGGGATTGAGAGAAAGCCACTGAAAAATCCCAGATCGTTCCGCCGAGCCCACGAATTGCAAATAGCACATACGTGCCGTAGGAACGACAGCCCCCAAACCTCCCAGCGCCGCCGCTTTCAGTTTCCCTTTCCCGGGGCGGAGCCGCCGCTCTCTGCGCCCCGTGCCGCCCCACTGCGCAGGCGCTGCTGCGCGGCCACGCGGTGCTGCGGGATCCCTGGGAGGGGCGGGCATGCTGCGCAGCCTGGGGCTGGTGGGCACCATCGCGGAGGGGGACGCGGGGCCCGAGGAGCCCGAGTCGGGAGATTCTGAGGATGAAGAGGTGAGGCCGGGCCGGTTCACTTTGGGTTGGATGATGTGAGGCCGGTTCGGTTCGGCTCGGTCGCTCACGGGTGTCGTTGCAGGAGGTGCGGCCGGCGCCGGGCTCCGGACGGCGGGGAGCGGCAGGAGGGGACTTCAGCTCCGCCTTCGTGTTCGGCGAGGTGGAGGCCGGCGGGGAGGGCGCCTGGGCGGCAGCGCTGCGGCAGCTCCGCGGCAAGGTGAGCCCTGCGGCCGGGGGCGGATCGCCGCCTGCTGTCCCGGTCTCCTCTCATCTCCTCGCCTTTATTTTCCTGCTTAGAGATCGGCTACCACGCTGGATGAGAAGATTGAGAAAGTGAGGCAGAAAAGGAAGATTCAGGTCGGGCTTCTTCCACATTGCGGTGCGGTCTGGAATGAGTTTGGTCTCTCTGAACGCGGTGCTGGAGCTGCAGCTGTCAGTTTGCAGCCACACCTGCTGGCCTTGTTGTATGCAGAACTGTTAACGCTTACGTTGAAGCTGTGGGTGTGAGTGGGCTCGTAACAAAGCAAAAAAGCTCGCAAAGGAGTAAAGTTTCCTTCTTTACCCATTTCACATCATCCATTCCATTTCTTTGCCCGTTTCACTTTATCCACTTGGCTTGTTTTATTCTTCTGCCCAGGAAAAAGAAGCTAAGCAAGCAAAAGTGAAAGATGGCGATGCAGGAACTGAGGATAATCAGTCCGAAAAGAGGGAATGTGAGGACTTTGGTAGAGAGGAAGAAGAGGACAACGAGTCCCAGTACTCATTGGATGATGAAACTATCTTCACAAAAGCAGGTACGTAGAGCAAACATGGACAGGCCACTGATCTGCTGGAGAACAATCTTTAATGAAGTCTTGGTGGGGATGAGCAAGAATTTCTCACTTTGTGAGATCTGCAGATCTCTGTGATCAGTCAAGCTCATTTTGAATGGTAGCTCTGGTACTTCTGTTGGGGTGGTTCTTGAATGAGGAGGTTTGCTTGGTGTTTTACTCCACTCTTGCCTATATTTCTGAGGCTTTTTCATCAATAACTTCTTATAAGCAAGAAGTACCAAATGAGAGCACACAGAATGTGTTGTTATATGTTTAGTTGTACTAAAATTCCTATTGTAATTCTTTGCAGATACAATTAAAGTGAAGGAAAGGAAGAGATCGAAAAAAGGAGGACAAAAAGTAAGTGATAGAGAGAATGGCACCAGATCGTTGTCCAGTCAGTATAACTTCTGGAAGAGCATAATGAACTGTAGGTCACAGAGCAAACCAGAGCCCTGTGACTGCATGCTGTGTTGCTGAGTGTGGTTTTCTTGTTTTGCTTTTGTTGCTGTTTCTAGGAAGCAGAATGCTTTTTTGAAGATGCTTCTCAATACGATGATAGCTTGTCATTCCAGGACATGAATCTTTCCCGACCTTTGCTTAAGGTATTTATCTAGTTTAGTTATTATATGTATTGCTATAAAGAATGTTGGACAGTCTCTTTCCGCCACTCAAAGCCGTTGCACTGCTTCTCTCTTTGCAACCTCTCTGAAAAGGAAATGAGGTGCGGTGTGGTATGATAGTAAGCTCTCAAACCTTTCCTGGTCCAGTCCTTTACCACTTTTATGGCTGTTATTGAGCCATATTGAGTGGAGAAAGTGTTCCAGATGTAGCCTCAATAGAAGTGAATAGAGACAGCACTGAACTGTTTTGTCTGCTTTGAAGGCAATCACAGCTCTTGGTTTCAAGCAGCCAACTCCAATTCAGAAGGCTTGTATCCCAGTGGGTCTTCTGGGGAAGGATATTTGTGCTTGTGCTGCTACTGGTACAGGTGAGGGCTTGAGCCGTGGGACGTGGAGAATTCAGAGTATTTGCAGTAACTCCTGGTAATTCTTCTTAATTTTTCTTCTGTAGGCAAAACAGCTGCCTTCATCTTGCCTGTGCTTGAGCGCCTGATTTACAAACCTCGTCAGGCCCCAATAACGAGGGTACTGGTTCTTGTGCCAACACGAGAACTGGGTATTCAGGTGCATTCTGTCACAAAACAGCTGGCACAGTTCAGCAGTGTCACAACTTGCCTTGCTGTAGGTGAGTATGAAGTTGCATACATGGATTGCACAGATCACTACAAACTGCTGTGTCAAACTGGAAATGCTGTGCTCTAAAACTGGACACTGCGGTTGTTGCAAACGTGCTTCTAGAAGGTGTGCTAGAGTTCAAAATCTCACTTTCCAATGCTATGCAGGTTTTTTGGTTGTTGGTTTTGTTGTTTTCCATAAAAAGAAAAGGTGAGGGCACTTCCAGTTGTGAATGTGTAATGAATCTGTGCTATTTTCCCATTTCTCAGGGTATTTGGGAAGATGAACTGTGTAGATCCTGCTCACAGACTCAGCAGTCTGTTTGCTCTCTTTCAGGTGGCCTAGATGTGAAGACTCAGGAAGCAGCTCTGCGCTCTGGGCCGGACATTCTTATTGCAACTCCTGGGCGACTAATTGATCATCTCCACAACTGTCCCTCTTTCCACCTGAGCAGTGTGGAAGTGCTTATTTTGGATGAAGCGGACAGGTAGGCTAGACAGAACAGTGGTGGAAAATGTGATGGCAGCTTCCTCTTCTCCTTTTCCCAGGATGTAGGGCAATCTTTGTGACCCTGCCTTACGTAATGGTTCTTAACTAGCACTAGATAAAGTTGTATGATCTCGCTGTGTTTCTCTTGTGTAGGATGCTGGATGAGTACTTTGAGGAACAGATGAAGGAAATAATCAGGTTATGTTCCAAGCACCGGCAGACAATGCTTTTCTCTGCCACAATGACAGAGGAGGTAAAACAGGCTGCTGGGAAACATGCTCAGGCAGATGGTTGAATAGATGGCTGTCTATTAAATCTTTCACCAGAAAGTGTTGAACTTTTTTCTTCAATGTTTTCTGATAGGTGAAAGATTTGGCTTCTGTTTCCCTGAAGAATCCCACCCGAATTTTTGTGAACAGCAACACAGATGTTGCCCCTTTCCTGAGGCAGGAATTCATCCGGATCAGACCCAACCGAGAGGGAGACCGTGAGGCCATTGTGTCAGGTGAGCAATGACCAAGGAAAAGATGGAATCGGTGGGTGACTGTGAAGCAGGCTGCTGAGAGGACTTTCTTGCAGCTCTACTGACACGGACCTTCCCAGATCATGTGATGCTTTTCACCCAGACAAAGAAGCAAGCTCATCGTATGCACATCCTGCTTGGGTTGATGGGTCTGCGGGTTGGGGAGCTTCATGGGAACCTCTCCCAGGCACAGCGACTGGAAGCACTCAGGTATTACTGGGCTTACTGGGCCATCGTGGGAAGGAACAAAGTAGCTAAAAGCTGGAAGTTTTAGAGAAAAAGTGAATCTCTGTATTCATAGCTAATATATTTGCTGTTTTTGTTCAGGCGTTTTAAGGATGAGCAGATTGATATTCTGGTAGCTACAGATGTGGCTGCGCGAGGACTTGACATAGAAGGTGTTAAAACAGTGAGTGTTTGCAACGCTGATCTTTTTAACAAGTCCTTCAGTGTAATTTCCCTACTAACACTTCATTTAATAGGTGATCAATTTTACCATGCCCAACACCACCAAACACTACGTTCATCGAGTGGGTCGAACAGCAAGAGCAGGTAGGGCTGGTCGTTCAGTTTCACTCGTGGGTGAGGAAGAGCGGAAGATGCTGAAGGAGATTGTGAAGTCTGCCAAAACACCAGTGAAAGCCAGAATTCTCCCTCAAGGTAGGCACAGAGATTAAAAAAGAGAGCCACAGGCAAGGAACGTTGCTGTACAGAGAAGAGACTCGAGATGCTAAACAGTAAAAGTGGACATTGAATTGGCTGTCTGATATAATTCAGGCTGGATCTTTTTCAGATGTCATACTGAAATTCCGAGAAAAGATTGAGAATCTGGAGAAAGATGTGTATGCAGTTCTGTGCCTGGAGCGTGAGGAACGTGAAATGCAGCAGTCAGAGGCCCAGGTAGGTTTTCTGTAGGATGTTGACCTGGAGTCTGTAATGCAAAATGAGAAGATGACCCTAGCGTGCTTAACCTGCATAATTTAGAAGGGAAATTGGTAGATATTCCTTGGCAACCATGAGCTCATACATCTTGTCTGACTTGTTTCAGATCAATAAGGCAAAGAAGCAGTTGGAGGAAGGAAAACAGGAGACTGCAGCCAAGGGTGTGGAGCGGAGCTGGTTCCAGACCCGTGAGGAGAGGAAGAAAGAAAAACGTGAGTTGTAGCAGTGCTGGGCATGCTAAATTCTGTAGCTGCAAGTAGAATGTGCTCTATCCTTTGAGAGGTCTTTATTCCATGCTTTTCTCTGTCTTTCTCCAGTGGCTAAAGCACTGCAGGAGTTTGACCTAGCATTACGAGGCAAAAAAAAAAGGAAGAAATTTATGCAGGACACACAGAGAAAAGTCCAAATGACAGTGAGTATAATTATGGGTAAATGGGACCCTGGAGTAGATTTTCTTTGTTTTTTCCTCAGCAAAACCTCTCATTGCTGTAAATGTACATTTTTACACTTTCCAGCCAGAGGAGAGGTCGCAGTTTGAAATCTTGAAATCTCAAATGTATGCTGAGCGGCTGGCAAAAAGAAATCGGCGACTGAAGCGGGCCCGAGCTTTGCCAGAAGAGGAACCAGCAGCAGCACCAAAAGGTGGAGAAAGCAGTTCTATTCCACAGCTGATAAACCTTATGTCAATTGCTTTGTTGCATAGGGGTGAAATGAACTAAGTTGTGTAGTGGGGAGCACCAAATCAGAAGGAAAGGCCGCTGGTGCTGGCCAGGGCACACAGTTGCAAAGGGGAGAGTCATTGCTTTTCCTGATGGTGATGCTAATTGGTGTGGTCACAAATACTGGGCTTTAGTAAACAAGATGATGCTCTGACCTTCTCATTACATCTAATGTTCTGACTATTGTATTGTCTCCTTGTGTTAGGCCCCAAGCGGAAGAAAAAGGTGTCTGTGTTTGATGAAGAGCTTACCAACACAAGCAGGAAGGCTCTGAAGCAGTATCGTGCAGGGTAATGGCTGAGCAGCAATGTTGGCATAGACCTTCCATAGTGTCTGAACTTTTCTCAGCAGTAGTTTTCAGGGTACTGGGTAAAAGGATCCATTCCAGTTATTTTATGGGCATAGCAGAGCAGGGTGTCTTTCTATAAGTACAAGTGACATTTCCTTGTTTTTCTCTCTGTAACAGTCCATCGTTTGAGGATCGGAAACGCTTGGGTATGGCCCAACGTAGGAAAGGAGGAAACTTTAAATCCAAGTCCAGGTATAGTTTCTATTTCAAGTTTTTCTTGATTTCCTTTTACTGTAATGGTTGAAAGGCCCTTTCTAAGACATCTGATGCTTCTACAGAAGTTTAATCTGGTGCTGCAGGGTCTGGGAGAAATCAAAGAGAGTGTCTGTGTGGTAGCATACGTCTGCATTTTAGCATGAGAGAGCATTGCCTAGTAAAAGCACTGTGCTGCTCCTTATTTATCACTAAGGTAGGCTGGTGCAGTGTGATTTCAAGGATCATCTCTTTCAGGTACAAGAGGAAGTAAGAATTGTTTTACAAGTGGGGAATCCGGGCTATCTGGACACTTCAGACTTTTCTCCAGGGCCTGGATTTCTTCACATGGGGAGGAGCTGAATAGATTTTCATCAGGTCTCAGAATAGCTTTGGATTGTTCATTTATAGCTGGTTGAACACTATGTGAAAATATTTTCAGCCAATATAATAAATTTTCTATTAAAAAAAAAATTAGTTCTTGTGCTTCTGATTTGTTACTTAATGTGATTGGAAGGACTTACAGACGTGAGAATCTGTTTCTAAATAGAGTACCCTAGATGCCCTTCCAAGGGGTAATCTGATCCTCTGAAAGGATACTGGTCCCTCCTAACCAACTGAACAGAAAGCAGCCATAAGGCAAGACCAGAATACCAATATTTGTTACTAGGAGCATTGCACTTATATATAAACATCACGTTGGCTTATTGCAAGCTAAAAAACCAGCAGCTTAATACAGAGCTTCAGTGATTACTATTAATAATACAAGTAGCACTGTCCTTACTGTACTCCAAGTAAAAGGGAGAATTCTGATTAGTAACCCGTAGTTTTGCTGCAGCCTTAATCTCTTGTTACTCTTTACTCTCCATATCAATTATCTTTCATCAGCTACTTGATAAATTTCTGTAGTATCCCTCAATTCCTAAAAAGGATGAGTCAATATAGACCCTAGCTCCTGGGTCTATGGGAATAACTCTTCTGGCTTCAAACATGTTCTTCCTTCACACCCAAAGCGCAGAAGCAGAATGTAATGAGTGCAGCCCTGAAGAGATCAGTACACTACTGATAAACTCTATTGTTTTCCAACTTTATTAAAAAGGGCAAACTTTACAAGCAGTAAATAGAAAATATACATAGCAAAGTTCAAACAAGTGATACTGCCTCAGTATGTTTCCTTATTAGTCTTCTCACAGTTCTAAGGTATGTTGTAGAGGATCCTAGGGCCTTGGTGGACGCATGCCAGGGGGAGGGGGTCCTGGAAATAAAGAAAAAGAGTTAAATATTGAAGAGGTCAGAGCAAGCAAAGCTAATAAACCTGTGAGATCTTTTCCTGTGCACAAGGTGGCCTTGGGCCCCATTTTCAACACTGATAAATCCATTGGTGACTAGCATAGCTGGGGAGCCATTGAAGTGTACCACCCTCCAAATGTCAGTTTTTGTTTTTGTTTTTTTTTTTTTTACATTATAGCTTCTATACAGGTAGGATAACTGCCACTCACCTCTCATTCCTGGGGGTGGTGGTCTCATGCCTGGTGGTGGCATTCCCATAGGAGCGCCTCGGCCAGGTGGCATTCCCATTGGTGGACCCATAGGTGGTCTCATGCCTGGAGGAGGTCCCATCATTCCTTAAACCAGAGAAAAAACAAGTACATAAATTCAGCTGAACGCTAAAGGCCCTAATGGTATGTCAGAATATAATCCTCAAAACCAGCTCTCCATTGCCCATCTGGCCCCATAATGCAGGCTCCCTGCTGTTCCACTGCAGTAAATCCTACCTGGAGGAGGGGCTCCTCTGCTCATGGGGGGAGGAGGACCCCCACGTCCTGGTGTGTATTGAGTTGGGGCTCCTGCTATGCTAGCAGTGGCTGCTGCAGCAGCAGCTGCAACCGTTCCACGACCCTGGGGCGTCATCACCTGCAAACAACATAAACAGGCTCATAAAAAACCATATAACTGGTTTATATTAATAACATATAATAGCCAAAACTTACATTCTTAATTCTAAAAACTGTGCCAGTCTCCCCTTTATGTTTTAAGTAATGCTACAACCATGTAATACAATTCCCTGAATACCACTTGAATTCAGGAAAACTTTTCTTTCAGCATGAGATGCAGAGTAACTAGGTGGAGTTGGTATCAAAATAAAAAGAAAACCCCACACCAACAAAAGCCCAAAGCTCAAGCATCTTGGTACCAGAAGTTAAGATTACTATTTTTTTTCACTTTGCCAATTTTTTGCATCAAACTTCAGAATATACCAGAATATACAAGTCCTCTCACCTGTTGGGATGGTCCTCCAACTCCTCTGACAGGGCCAGCTAATCCTGCTGGAGCCTGGGGCATGGGTGCACCAGCTGGTACTCCCCTTCCTGCTGCTCTCCCAACTCCAGGTCCTCCAGCAGCTCCAGCAAGAGGCACACGGGCAATTCCAGTCTGAAAACAGACATGCACACACTCAAAAATGTATCAAAGCAGAAATCCTCAGGTTTTAGGAATCCCCACTTCTGTCCAATCAATATCTGAGGCAGTGAACAGGTGAACTTTCTGCAGTGGAATTTGCTGTGCCTGCAACAGTCACAACAGCACCTGGAAGCCTAGAACATGGCACAACAGCCATCTCTTCCAAGGCTACATCTACCAAACTTCCTTTTCTCCTTAGTTCTGCACTCATTCTCCTTACATCTTTCGGAGGTGGCCCTTCAACTGTCATAGACACCAAGTTTTCTCCTCGCAGCAACACAAGACCAAGGACGCGTTTTTCTTCCCGTTCCGGCTGTTTTGAATTCTTAGGTCTAACGAGAAAAGAGAAAGAAAACATTACAAGACAAAGAAAGTCATGTTGTTCTTTGAATGTGCACCTGAATACAGAATCATGGAATGGTAGGGTCCTGTACAGGTCACCAACTCCAACCCCCTGCAGTGTGCAGGGACACCCACAGCTCCATCAGTGCTCACAGCCCCCCAGCCTGACTCGAGTGCCTGCAGGGTGGGGCACCCACCTCATTTCTGTGCCACTGCCTCACCACCCTTATTGTAAAAACTTTCCTCCTTACCTCCAATCTAAATCTCCCATCTATTAGATTGAAACCATTCCCCTTACCCTATCATAGAGGCCCTATTGAAGTGTCCACATCCTCTTCTTTCTTACAGTAAGGATCTTAAGAACGTTAAGAAATCTCTTACAATACTGAAAGATACAGTCTGACTGTTCCATAGCTGAGAATCTGCTATGAAAATAAATTAACACATACCTACCACCCAGGCTAAGAACGCTGAGAAGCCCAAACAGATGATGAATACCATCCCCGCGACTCTTTTTCCCCCAGCACGCTTAACGGGCTGTGATGGGCTACGACAGCAGCGCGGGTGGAGCTGCGCGAAGCCGCCTGGGGCTCCACCCGACCCGGCACTGCCACTCACTTGATCTTACGGAACTCGTCGCAGTCGCAGAGGATGAGGTTCATGTGCTTATCGAAGGCCTTGAAGGTGCCGATGAAGACGCGGCCATCCTGCAGGATGCACCGCATGCGGTAGTCGATGTGCTGCAGCATCTTGCTGCTCTTTCCCACCGTCTGTAAGAAACCACCATTATACCGCGCGTTACCGCGGGCAGCGGCTCAGCCGGCCCGACCCCCCCGCAGCGCCCGCAAGACTCACCATGGTTGCGGTTCTCTATGCTCTCCCCCGCCGCCGCACAAACGCCTCCCGCTCTACCGGAAGCACCGCCGCACCGCACCGCCACTTCCGCCCGCCCGCACGCGGATCTCTGCCGCCGGCCCCGCCCCTTCCGCCGCGCGAAGGACGCGTTTCCGCCGCCGGCGGGGGCGGTGCTGCCCAGCTGAGGAGGTGCGGGGCGTCGGCGGGAGCGCGGAGCTCGCAGGCGCGGGCGTCGATGCGGGCGCTTATCTGCGGGCCCCGCCGGTAACCGCCGCAGGGAGAGCTACGCCGGTCCTCGTGGACGGGCCGGGCGGTGCCGAGGGGGCGAAGGGGCTCCGGGGCCGGCGAGCCTCCGCTCGTCCGCGGGGGAAACCCGGCAGCGCCGCCGATGGGGCCGCTTCGCACCTGCGGGGCTCGGCTCGGCGGGCGGGGCCCGGGCCGCGGTCTCTATGGTAGCGCGCGGAGGGATGGCCGGAGGCGGCGGCGTGGGGCCGGAGTTGGAGGTGCCGGGGGTGGAATGTGGAGCGGCGGCGGTAGGGTCGGGTGAACGGAGCCGGGAGCCGCTCTGAGGCCGGGTCGGCTGCCGGTGCCGCCGCCGCTTCCTCTCTGCCCGCGGTCCTTCCCCTCCTGGAGGCTCCGCGGTGGGGCTTCGGCCTGAGGCTGCGAGCCCGCTGCGTGCCGGGCCGACCCGCTACCGGAGCCGAGCGGGGCTGAACATTTGGACGGCGGTTCACCAAAACGAATCTTTCGCCCCGTAGGTTGGGGTCTGGCCCGCCCCGAGCTATCGCTGACTGGCGTTACAGCCTTTTTCAGCTCGCTCGACTGATGAAAAATAATAAAGCCTTCTCTCTTTTTGCCTGTTACCACGTTTCTGTGTTTGCTAGGGAGTCCGTGCAGCTGTGCTGAACGTTCAGCCTGGCGCTGCAGCCCGCTCCGCTTTGTGCAGCCGTAGGTGGCCCCGGGCTTAGGGTACCGGAGGCAGAGATCTGAGCGCCTGGTTCAGCGCTTTCTGCAGCGAATTGAGTTTCTTTGCTCGGTGTGTGAGGTAACCTGGAAGGCTATACGTGGCCCTCAGGTCAGACTGCTGACTGCCGCCCTCTCCTGCTGCTGAGTTAGGAAGGGGCCTGCTCTGTAGTTGGTCACTCTGCTAATGGCACCTCCCCTCGCTTGGCCTGGGCTGTCCTTACCACCTGCTGGGGGCTCGCAGGGAATTTGCTCTGATGTTTTCAGAAGCTGTGCGGCCGTGCACTGGTTAACTGGAGGGTTCTACCAGGCAGCTTTTCTTTTTTTCATTGAATGTTCTTTCATCCTCCTCATTTTTATTCTGTGTGCAGCACAATTTGTTCTATCTGTGATGAAAAGAAGATTGAGTTTGTGAATAGGGAAATTCTGTTTAAAATACTCCATTTGTTTTAGCTTGCAGCTTCTCAGAAGTCTCTTGAATAGTGTGTTATAAGTGGCTCTGCTGATTTCTTCTTGCTTTGCAGCCCTGCATTGCTGATTCATATGATGGACCTCACTCTGTAAAAACACAGTGAATTTGCTTCTGATGGATTTCAGTTTGGCTGCTTTCTCCCTGCATAAAGCCTTGAGAATTGCTTATGTGAGACTTTTGAAAAAAATATGCTGTGAGAGACCAGTAAGTAACTGATCACAGTGATTATGTGAAACTGTGGCAACTGCTTCTTCACAATAGCTTCTGAACAGTTGTTTTATCAGATACATCACTGATGTGCTGCAAAATCTCTCTTCTGACATTTAGCATTGTCATCTTATGGCTGCAGACACGCAGTAAAA